GCCCCCAAGGCCCTTCGTGAAATGTAGTCGTAGAGGAGACTGTAGCGTGTGATTCTGCGTGCAACATGTTTCTTGATTGGTTGCGCATGGTCGTTGCACATTGGCGCACATAAGAGGCATATGTTCGTGTGCATTGGTACTGCATGTGCGTCTGCATTTTGCGTACACGCCCGTTTTACGATTATACTTGTGACCTGCGTCCGATCATGGTGTATGCTGTTCAGATGTTGATGATAGCGGGGTGCATCCGGATGTATGACAGGAAGTATGTGGCTGCTTTTTATGCATGGACTGCTGGATGTCCAGCCCTGGCTTGCATTCGTCACGTATGTGTTTTGCACCTGGTGCTGATATTCTGTCACAGAGGGCTGTGCATGATGTGCGCTTTGTTTGCAATTAACGTGCGGTCCTGGTATGGACGTACGTCCTTCGTGTATCAGACGTGTATTGCACTGGTGCATCTTGCTTACTTGTGCCATTGATTGTCGTGTGGTATTGGTGACCGCTCCGTTGGCATATAACTTAAGTGTGGGAGCGGCGTGTGCACTGGGTGTATGCTGCGAACTGTGGTTGGTGCCATGCGGCTGATTTGCATTATTTGACTATGCTCGTAGTGCTGGTTATACATGGGTCTTGGTGTACGCCATGTATGTCAATTGTTGTGTGTTGTTGGTTGGGTGGTGTGTGTTAATGGTATTAATGCCGCGTGCGTTTGTGAATGCGTGTTGGTTGCGACATCGGCATCTGGTTGGCACTAGCGAGAATTATTATCCACTGGTGTGCGTCATCGTGTACGTCTGGCGCCTCGCCGCGAAGCGTGCGACGGGTGTGTGTGTGTGTGTGTGTGTGTGTCAGTCCGTTGATTGTTACGACCGGCTGTGCTTGATGTGTGTGGGATTTCCCAGACAGCGCTTGCGCCTGAAAGATTCCTACTCGGTGTGCTCCAAGAACTGGATGGACTTCCTGGATTGCCAGCTGGCGCCCGGCTGGCGGGCGCCCGTGGGACCCTCGTGGGCGCCCCGCGCCTGGCAAGTCTCCCGAGGTTTCGCCTGGTGCCCGCCCGTGTGCGCCCCGTGGGACCCCCCGCGTTGGGTGGGGTCCTCGAGGTTGGGAGGGGGAGGGGGAGGGGGAGGGGGAGGGGGAGGAGGAGCGAGGAGGAGGAGGAGGAGGAGGAGGAGGAGGAGGGGGAGGAGGAGGAGGGCGCGTTGGGTGGGGTCCTCGAGGTCGCGCCTGGCGCCGCGAAGGTCGCGCCGTGCGCGAGCTCATGTGAAACATAGCTCGCGTCACAGAGCTTGCGCAGCACAGCCTGCAGCGCACAGGCCCACGCCACATGGCTCACGCCACGTGCTTGCGCAGCCTGGCGTGCACCGCACGGCTTGCACAACATGGCCGCCACCACACTGGCCACACCGCACATACTCCGCAATCGTTCTCGCACCACAGACTTCACGCTGCATGGCTAAACCATCACACCTTACACCGCATAGCTTGCACACTGTAACCAATACCATATATGCAGATGTCATCGCGGAGTTTGCATACCATTGCTTGCGCCGCCAAGCTTGCACAACGTAGCTTGGGCAACGCAGGTCACATCGCAAAGCTTACGCACCATAGCTTGCATCGCATCGCTAGCTTGCACACCAAATCTTCCACCTCCACCCTCCACAGGAATACGTCACTGTTTTGGGCCCGCGCTGGCTGTAACTTGACGTGTGCTAGGAATTGTGGTGCATTGCGTTGTGGTGCTGTCGTGATATGGCTGTGTGCTCTGAACAAGTGGTATTGATGTGTGCTCTGGTGTGTATTACTTTGCACTAGGCTGCCCTCCGTCGCGCCGTGTTTAGTTTCGTCTGCGCTGCCACGTGCCCCCCGCCCCGTGAGCTGGGGCTGGCATGGGGTCCACGTCCACACCACTGGTTGGAATTCGTACCACTGGGTTGGGGTTCGCCGGAATTTTGTTAGGGTCCGGCCCGCGTGTGAACGGTAGCGGGGCGCCGTGGGCGCGGGTGCGTGGGGCAGCTGGGAGAGGAAAGGAAAGGTCAACCATACGCCCCAAGGCTCGTCGGCGCGGGCGGCTCAGGCGAGCCCGAAAGACCGGTCGATCAGACCGCGCGCGAACTCCATCCTCACCACATGCTCGAACAGCGTGCGGGTGCAAGTAGTTGTTTGGCCCATTCTGGCCGGGGGCAGCTGGGAGCAGGGCGCTACTCGTCGTCGCTCACGCTCGCCCAGCACGCCCCGGCGGGGGCGGCCGCACGTCTCCACGGCGCCAAGGCAAGCGCGCTGGTCAGGCGGCGATGCCAACACGCCCCGTCGGAGCACCCCCTTCCGACAAGAACGTTGGGCGTGAGTGTGCGGAGGGTGGGCGTCGTCCCGGGGTGGGGTCGACTGGTAAGGGTGGTATCTTTGTGTAGGTGGCTTGTGTGTAAGGGTGAGGTTTAAGACTACCATCATCATCATCACCATCATCATCATCACCATCATCATCGTCATTCTCGTCAGCATCAGCATCATCATCTCGCCTTCATGTTGCTCCTCCTCATCTCCTCTCTCCCCCGCGCAATCAAAACAATAAGACATCTGCACAATCAACAGCAATAAGATATCCATACAATCAAAACCAATCAGAAATCCACACAATCAAAAGCAATCATGAATACGTGCAATCAAAAACAGTAATAACACAACACAAACAAAAACAATCAGAAATCCATGCAATTAAAAACAAGAAGAAATCCATACAAACAAAAACAATAAGACAACCATACAATCAACAACAATACGAAAACGTCTTGGGTAAAGGGGGAGGAGGATCAGGAGAGGTGGTCCTTCGCGCGAAAATCGTTGGTATGTTGGGAACCCTCGCAGGTTCAATTGATGTTTTATTGGTGTTAGTTTGTTTCTCAATGACAATCACAGGTTTCCTTGCCTTCGAGCTACGAGACCTGTGAGAGTCCCCGACAAAAAACAAAAACAACCAATAAAGCTTGTGAGAGCTCCAAAACAACCAAAAATCAAAGGTGTTCGTGGCTTCGGACTTGTTCCGGGCCCCTCCAGGCCAGATCCGCCCAGGCAGCCTGAAGTCCCGAAAACCATTGATTTTTAGTTTTTGTTGTAAACTCATACAATCAAAAGAGGAAGTCCAGGCGGGGGAAGAAGATCGATTTGAAGAATTTGGGCTCGCGGAATCTTGTCCAGAATCTGCCGCGATACCGATTCCCCCGTACGAATTCTGCAGACAGACATTGCAGCCAGTACTGTTTTTGAGGGTGTCCCTATCTACATGGAACTATCGGCCTGACGCATCCGCTGTTATCTCGGGCCCCCCAGGCACTGGCGAGCCAACTAGGACACTTAGTGGAGGGTCACTGCTGGGAGACACTGCGCAACAAGCTACTCCAGATTTCGTAATAAAAGGGAGGGGGTCTCATTTCGGGGGGGGGTCTCTTCCAGGCCATCTTGGAGGGCCTGGAGGGGTCTAGGGACGACGTTTTGGAGGGTTCTCCCACGGGGGGGGGTCTGAAATGGCTTGTCTTGGAGGGTCCAGACCCCCTCCCTTTTATTACGAAATCTGGAGTACATACTGGCTGTCGCAAGATGTGCAGCAACAGACTACCACGAGAGAGAGAGAGAGAGAACACCCCCGGAGCAGCCGTCCAGACTACCCCCTGAGACTGGAGAACCTCCCTCCCTCCCTCCCTCCCTCCCTCCCTCCCTCCCCTCCCCTCCTCCTCCCTCCTCCCCTCCTCCTCCCGCCTCCCCAAGGTGAGCCCCTCACTGGTCTGGCCAATTCCGCCCATCCTGAGGACACCAGCGCTGCCCACTCTTGAGAAGTATGTGTGTTCCCTCCGCTGGCTTCTGACGTGCTTTCGCCATCAGATGTCCACTCCTTCTCACTGCCCATGTTTGCGGTCGTCATTCCGCCAGTTGATCCGCCAGGAACAGGTCGATTCGCCATCCCCCGAAAATGAGGACGCCCCGGAGCCTTCGCCGCTCCACGAGGTTATCTGGATTGCAGGGCTGCTTGCGGATCCCGTTGGGGGCCGCCCCCTATGGCCGCGGGCGGAGGCTGTTGGGCTGGTCCCCACGATCGGGTGCACCGAAGAGGGGGCCCAGCACGAGGGGGGGGGGGGGGATGCACGTGCGCGGCCGAGGGGGGGGGGCTCCTCCTCCTCCTCCTCCTCCTCCTCCTCCTCCTCCTCCTCCTCCTCCTCCTCCTCCTCCTCCTCCTCCTCCTCCTCTTCCTCCTCCTCCTGCTCCTGCTCCTGCTCCTCCTCCTCCTCCTCCTCCTCCTCCTCCTCCTCCTCCTAGAGAGCTCTGAAGGAAGAAGAGGGCGCCACGAAATCTGAGAGCCTTGCATGGCCCCCGCCATGACATCTGGACCCCCACAGCCCTCACCCCTCGCTCGTGAGGGGGAGCGGCAGGGGGGGGAGACCGGCCCAGGCAGGGAACGTCGAGCTCGCAACGGCGATACGCAGCCGATACATCGGCGATGGGCCCCCGATGTCGACACCGCGTGTTCTCCTCGGCGGGGTGGGCCATCCAGGCCCCTGTCGGCGAGGCGTGGGCGACTGGGGGTCGATGCGCCCTCCGCCCCCCGAGGTTGCCCCTGATCTTGGTGGGCTTGTGTTTCACCGCCGCCACCACAAGTAGGATTAGGATGTTGGGCGAAAAAAAGACACTCAACAAATGCCCCCAAATAGTCAAACGACACTCAAAACATCGTCATCTGAATCTTTGTGGACTATTTTTGAATACTCCTCCTGTAGAGGGACACGCCCGACCTAAAGTAGGAGGGGGAGTGGGTCCTCCTCCTCCTCCTCCTCCTCCTCCTCCTCCTCCTCTTCGTCCTCCTCATCTTCGCCCTCCTCTTCCCCCTCCAACTTATGGTGGTGGCGGTGGAAAACAGACTCATCAGATCTTTGACGCCCTTGACGCGAGCGCGGACGGCGAGCGCCCTGGTGGCCCTCGCGCGAGGAGGCGGCGCGGGGCGGCGCCTGCCAATCCTGCAGCACCGCGCGGTGCAGCCGCTCGGCGGTGCGGAGCCTCTGGCGCCCAGGCCGGCCGCTCGCGGTGCTTCGCCGGGCCGCGCTGCAAGCCAGGCCCCGTTTGGCCCGCCCTCTGGGTCGCTCTCTTCCCGCGCCCGTTTTCCCCGGTCGACGCTAAGATGCGTCTCCTCGAATTTGCTCGGCATGCTTGCATGTGCGGTCGGCTGTCGACAGTGACGGCTGGGTTCGCAAATTATCTGGCTCTGTGCCCCAGTCAGCCCGATTGACCCGCCCTCTGGACTCTTCCTTTGGGCCGCAGATCCAAAAAGCAAACCAGGCCCAGAGTCCGCGTTACCGTGGAGGCCCGACCACGAGAAGCCTTCCACAAGAGAGACCCCAACCCTGAGACCCCAGGCCGCCCCTCGGTTCTTGGTGCGGGAACGTCACGCTTTCCGTGGCGAACCCATCGAAGCCCAATAAGCCCGGGGCATTCTGGAGGTAAGCAGGGGTGTTTCTCGGCATGGGCCTCCACTGTACTTCGCCGGGCCGCGCTACAGGCCAGGTGCACGGCAGAGAGATGTCTTGAGTCCGTGCTACCGAGCTGGGTCGCCCTAACTCGCGCAACGCGCCCCGCGACGCCCGAGTGTCGTCGCGCCCTCGCGCCCCCGCGCCGCCCCCTTGGAGAAGGGCAGCTGCTCTGGGCCAGACCGTGACGCGCGAAGTGCGACTATTTTCGCACCTCCGCGGGTGACCCAAACCAATGTGCTCCCCCTTTATCGCTCCTCCCCGTCCTCTGACTGAAACGGGAAAAGGGTCCGCGATGGTGTCCGCGCTGGTGGGCTCCAGATGGACATCCCAAGCCAGGCGGCCACAGACAGGCAACGAGCCTAGCCTGCCCACTCTGTCGTCACTCTGGCCAATACCACGATGCAGCCTCATAGCGGTGGGCGCCCGAGAAATATCACCCTGACGATTTGACGCAGAGAAATAAGAACCTGGACGAGAGCATGACGGATCATTGGACGACGGGCAGCGGAACGCTCGGGCGGATTGCCGGAAATCGCCAGCCACACATAAACCCACTGACTCCGTGCAGACAACCAACCGAACGCCCGGATGGAAGCTGCTGCCTCTACCGCTGCTACCTAGGCCGCCTGGCTTCGCGCATCGCGCCGCGCGGATGCGCGACGCAAGATTACCTCCTCGCCCTCGCGCCCCCGCGCTGCCCCTTCCAGGAAGGGAGCCCGCTCTTGCCCAGACCGCCCCCGCAGGTGACCTTGACAGCCGCTCCTCCTGCTGCTGCTGCCCCGCTCCCGGCTGGACCCTCCAGGACCAACACTCGACGGGCGGCCTTCCCTGCTCGCCGACCACGCACGCCAGGCAGTGCTTCGCCGTGATCGTGCGCGGATCGCCCGGCCCGAACACGGACCTCGCGGAGGCCCGGGCCGGCTGCCCGCGCGGTCACGCGAGGACCCCCCCGCTTGGAGTGCGCGCTCCTGCGGCACGTTCGCGTCGTGGCGACCGTGGCGTTGGTTTCTGACCCCGCGTAGATCGTTCAGTCTTGAACGGTCCACTAGAGCCCTCCTAGATGGGGTCGAAGTAGATGGGGTCGAAATAGATGGGGTCGGAGGATCGCGCCGAATCGCCAATACATCGGAGATGCATCGGCGATACATCAGCGATGCATCGGCGATGCGCCGGCGATGCATCGTCGACGTGGGCGATGCAGCGGCAATGCCGACGCGAAGGAAATCGGGCTCCACATCGCGCCGCATCGGCGACGCATCGTCGATGCGGCGCGACCCTCCGACCCCATCTGCTCGGACCCCATCCGGGAGGCCGAGATCCACGCGGGGCCAAAGGTCAAACAGCCAACCCGTTCCACGCTGGCCGACTCGGGGCCACCGGCGGCGCCCCACCTCCAGCGCCCGCGGCGAAGAGCCGCCGCCACGTCGGCACGACACGGACCTGCCGCAGCAGCGCCCCCCTGGAACAGCCGGCACACAGTCTCGAAACGAGGGGGCGTTCGGAGAGGTCGACCAGCGCGCTCCACCGCTCGCAAGTGGCCTGGGTCACCCGCGGGGGAATCTACGATACATGGCATCAAAGCAGACATGTGTTTTTCGGACGTTTGCGGGTACTCCAGATTTCGTAATAAAGGGAGGGGAGTCTCATTTCGGGGGGGGGGTCTCTTCCAGGCTATCTTGGAGGGCCTGGGGGGGTCTGGGGACGATGTTCTGGAGGGTTCTCCCACGGGGGGGGGTCTGAAATGGCTTGTCTTGGAGGGTCCAGCTCAACCCTCCCAGACGAGAAGTTTTAGACCCCCCCCCGTGGGGAACCCTCCAAAACATCGTCCCCAGACCCCCCCAGGCCCTACAAGATAGCCTGGAAGAGACCCCCCTCCCCCCTCCCTTTATTACGAACTCTGGAGTAGGCACTTTGCGAGTCGTGGCACGCGCTCGGCGAAGAGGGCTTGGCGCTCGCGACGCGACGCAGCACGGGGGTATATACTGCCGGAAGCTGCCCAGAGGCGCCGCCGCCGCTCCATATATGTCGAGCTGGCGCGTCGCCCCCCCGCCCCTCCCCCTGGTGCTGCTGCTGCTCCTCCTCCCCTTGCTGCTGCTGCTGCTGCTCCGAGCGAAGTGAACCCCACCCTCCCCCTCAGAAATCGTGGGGGGTAGGGGTAGGGTTCGCATGTGGCCCCCTAGCTGCTGCTCCCTCCTCCTCACCTTCCGCCCCTCCGAATAGACGACCAACAGGCCGGCCCCAAGCAGCCCACGGCAAGGAGGTGTCGCCATGAGCGGCAAGGTGCACGAATCCCACCCCTCTTGGGGGACGAGGGGCGATCAGCACGCATCGCCCCTGGCGTCGAGGCAGCGGGTATCGCGCCAGATGACTCGGGCAACTGCGCGCCGCCGAGGGAGAAGGATTGGACGTGAAGACGAAGCTGGAGCAAGAGCGATCGGGCAGGGACGAGCAAGAACTCCGGAGGACGAGGAACTCAGGAGGAGCGGAGTCAATGGATCGCCGCTCTCTCGCCTTGCGCAGCGGAAGGAAGAGGAAACAAAAGGAGGAGGAGGAGGAAGAGCGCGCTCGCCAAGAGGGGGGCGGACGGGGGATAAGGTCTGAGGACACGCCAGAGGAGGAGCAGGAGGAGGAGGAGAAGGAGAACCAGGGGGAGGAGGAAGAGGAGAGAAGGGAGGACTGTATTGGTGGCTGCAGCGAATAACACCGAAGTCCGCCTGAGCCCCCCCGACGACCTGCGGCGGACGAGGGTGGAGCGGTAGAGCTTCTCGGCGTCCTGAGCGCGGGGGCGCACGCCGCAGGTGGCGCGATGCGGGCGCGTGGGGGCTTCCGCCCCGTCCTTCGCCCCCTCCTCCCCCACCTCCTGCTCCGCCTCGTCCTTCTCCTCCTCCGCCTCCTCTTCCTCGCTCGCTCGATCAGACTTCGAGACAACCGCAAACCATTCCCGACAAAAACAATCCAGAATGCAGAGGCGGCGAAGACCCTCCTCCTCCCCCCCTTCCGCCTACGAAGGCTCTTTCGCACTCAGTGCCTCCTTCTCTTCCGCCACCTTCGCACCCACGATCAGCCGGGATCGGGTCCCCCACCCCGATCCCGAAGCGTCGTCGTCGTGGGCCCCAATAACACAGAATCACTGATTCAAATTGAATTCGAAATTATTCTGCTTCGAGCGAAATCCACCGAAACCTTGATCGTTTGTTCCCGACGGCGCGCGGTCGCCTAATTGGTCGACAACTGCCGCTTCTGGATTCAAAAACGGTTCAACCGTGTTCCATGTGCTCACGCTTGTTCATGGTGTGCTCTAATACGTCCTGTTCTGTTCTCGACGGGCCGGCGTGACATCGTGACGCTTGGAACGTTAGATCTATCGTCTGGTATGATGGTGAAATTAACTTATATGTTTCTCGCTTGGGTTGAACATGTTATGTTATGAACATCTCTGTCACCATATGGTTTGACATGTTATGGTGTGTTCTGCTGGTTGGCACTATGTTATGGCATGACATGTTGTGCCAGTCTACTGTATCATATGATACGGTTTGTGATGTTGTTGACAGCTCGGCCCACTATAATGTACTATGATATGCTCTGCTAGTAAATGTCGCCGCTATGCTTTGCTGTCGTGTTATGATATGTTATGTGATGCTGTCATGCTATGATTTGACCTGTTCTGTCATGGTGTGTTATGTTATGATCGGCTATGTTATGTTATGCTGTGGTGTGTTCTGTCGCCGTATGTTATGTTATGTTCTGCTCTAGCATGTCATGTAATACTCTGTTTGTTGACGGCTCAGCTCTGAATACTATATCATGATCTGCTCTGCTAGTGCGTGTCGTTATGCTCTGATGCCGTGTTATGATACATTATGTGACGCTGTGTCATGATGCGTGATGTTCTGTCTAAGTGTGTCATGGTATGATCCATTATGTTATGTTAAGTTGTGATATGTCGCCTTCTGCTCGGTCATGGTCTGATCTGGTATGGTATGTGATGTTATGGTGTGCCGTATTGTGTCATGCCATTGCTATGTCATGTTCTGTCATGCGCATGGTCTGTTCTGTCATGTTATGCTGAGTCACATTGTGTTCTGTCGTGCTCGCCATCGCTATGCTATGCTGTCGTGTTATGATATGGTGTGATGCTGTGTCGTGGCATGATCTGTTCTGTCATGGTGTCTCGTGTTATGCTCGGCTCTGTTCTGGTATGGTGCGTTCTGCCATCTTCTGTTATGCCATGTTCTGCTCTGGTAGGTTATGTGATGTTATGGTATGCCCTCTTTTGGCATGGCATTGCTATGTTTTGTTCTGCCATGGCCTGTCATTATCATGTTATGTTGTGCCATGTTGCGTTTTGTCGTGATCGTCGTCGCTATGCTCCGCTGTCGTGTTATGATACTTTCGGTGATGTGTCATGATCTGATATGTGCTAACATGGCGTGTTATTTCATGTTCGGCTCTGTTATGTTACGTTGCTTTCTGTCGTCTTCTGTTCTGTCATGTTCCGCTCTGGTAGGTTATGTGATGTTATGTTATGCCCTATTTTGTCATGACAATGCTATGTTCTGTTATGCCCTGGTCTATCATGCTCGTGTTATGTTCTGTCATGTTCTGTTGTGTGATGTTGTGGATTGTCGTGTTCGTGGTCGCTATGGGTTGCTGTCGTGTTGTGATATGTTCTGTGATACTGCGCCATGATATGACATGTTCTGTCAACATGTGTTATGCTATGACTGGCTATGTTCTCTTATGGTGTGTTCTGTCGTCCTCTGTTCTGTCCTGCTCTGTTCTGGCATGTTATGCAGTGTTATGTTGTGTTATAAACTGACATGATGTTGACATGTGATGTTGTCACGCTCTGTCGTGTTCTGTTCCGTTATTTCATCTTCTGCCCTGTCCTGTTGTGTTGTGTCGTGTTCGTCGAGGGCGCGACGCGGGACACCCAAGACTCTCGGGGATCATCGAGACACCTTAGGTTCTGGCGGCCGGGGTATGTAGGGTGGCGCGGGGCTGGACCTAAACGTTGTTTTTCGTATTGTTTTCGTTTTGCTATTTGTTTTGCTCGACCTGTTTTCCTGTACCTCCCTCCCAAAACGAAAAACAAAACACAGGCGAAATCCAGCAAAACAGCGTTTAGGTCCAGCCCTGGGGTGGGGTTGGCCAGGCGCGAGGCGGGACGCCCGGGACACTCGGGGATCATCGGGGCAACTTGGGGTCTGGCGGCCGCGGCATGCAAAGCGAGGTTGGCCAGGCGCGAGGCAGGACACCCGGGATACTCGAGGTTCTCGGGACAACTTGGGGTCTGGCGGCCGCGGTATGCGAGGCGGGGTTGGCCGGGCGCGAGGCGGGACACTTTGGACACTCGGGATACCTGAGGCAACTTGGGGTCTGGCGGCCGCGGTATGCAGGTTGGGGTTGGCCGGGGGGGCCTGATCTTGGAATCTAACAACCCCAACCTGTCGGGTGAGGAAAAAGGGATTAGCCAGCGTGGACCCCGCACAGTGCTTTTCTAGATATGTATGCATGTATATATATATATATGTAATGTACAACCTACGTTGTGCAACGTACGTGGCGCAACCTGAGTGGTGCAATATGTGTGGTGCAAGCTAGGACGTGCAACCGATGTGACTCAATTGTGACCTAAACAGGAGTGCGCAATAATGTTGTGAAACATCGGGTAGGCAGTCTAGGTGGCCCAAACTATGTGGTGCAGCCTATATGGTGCAACATAACTGTGTTGCACTGTATGTTGTACAAGACATGTGGTGCAGTCCATGTTGTACAACATGCATGGTGGAATATACAATATGAAACATGTAGGGCGGCGACAGGGCGGTGACGACGCGGCGACGGCGACCACGGAACCGCCAGACCAGCACCCAGACCCAGACAATGGGCGGCGATAATGCGGCGACTGGCCGGCGACGGCGACCACAGAGCCGCCACACTGGCAACCAGGCCCAGACGACGGGCGGCGACGAGACGGCGACGGCGACCACGGAGCCGCCAGACCGGCGCCTGGGCACAAACAACGGGCGGCGACGAGGCGGCGACGGGGCGGCGACGGCAACCACAGAGCCGCCAGACCAGCATCGGGCCCAGACGACGGGCGGCGACGAGGAGGCGACGAGGCGGCGACGGCGACCACAGAGCCGCCAGACCAGCACCCAGGCCCACTGCCCTTCGAACAACAAGTAAGACCCCCTAAATGCAAACATTGCTTGGCGTTTCGGGACTCGTGCCGCCCTGGCCCAAGACGCCTCCAAAAGGAGCCGAAGGCAATCCAAAACAGCATTTTTGGGGCCCGAAGAAAAACCGGCCCCAAGAGGGCCCCAAAACGGTCTCACAGAGTCCCAAGTCGGCAACAGGGGTTCCAAGTTTCTTAGCACATACATGCCCACCAGATGGCCTGGAAAGGCGCGCGACTGCCCCAGCGCGCCGTGAGACGGCCCAGGACGCTCCCAAATGTCCCGCAAGAGGCCTCAATTTCCTCCTCCTTCTCCTCCTCCTCCTCTTCCTGTGCTGTGGGGGCTGGGTGACGACATTGTCAAATACTCAGGCGAAACTATGCCTGGACACTTTGCCATAAAGCCATTCCCGAAAACGGATGTGGTTGCAGTGGCCCGCAGGAGGCGTCTTCGAGTAAAGTTGTCAATCCGCCGCTCCATTTGGCGGTATGTGGAAACCCTGAACCCCCCCAAAGATTGAATCGCCGGAGGCGAACAATTGATATTTCCGCCTGTTTCCGAAACGCCCTCCGCCGCCTTCCGCCCGCGGAAACGGCCTTGTTTCACTGCCGCCGGTTTCCGACGCTCTTTTTCTGAAAACATAACACCAACCCCCCGATTACTCGGATGCGATGCCCTTTAAGGAGCGCTTCGTGTGGCTTATCCACGGTTGAAATAGCATGGCCACGGAGGGTACAGTCAATATGTTTCGCAAACGCCCTTACGAGATAATGGCTCGAAGACAGGCCCGACATCAATCGAAAATACTGATTGGATGCATCATACACATATTCCTGGTATGTTGGTATATTGTGCCGGAGTAAATGATCCTGCCTTTAGCTCGCTCGGCGGGCGCAACGATGATCGGGTGGCCCCCCTCCTCAATACGGCCTGCTGCTAAAGCTTCAGCTGAATAGCCAGAGCGTGTCTGCGAGGTGGACAATCGGCTTTCAGCTCGGCGCGTCCAGGCGGCAGTAGGCTAGCTCCTCGGACGACATGCCCCTTGACTTCGTCGCCAGCGTCGCCGTTGAAACAACAGTAACCTGAATCGCTGCGTAGGTCCGCCTCTCCTGTCGGGGTCATGTCCTGGTATGTGATTTACCCAGGGCGCTGGTGGAGTTTTGGCGCTACGGCGTTGAATTCTCGCGCTTGCCTGTTGGCCGATTCGTGAAAGTGTTGCAAATGAACCGCGCATGCCGTCGACCGCGCCTGGGCGGTCAAGGCGCGCGCCAGCGCACCGCGCAAGCTAACGAATATATATATATATATATATATATATATACATATATATATATATATACATATATATGATACAATGTCCGGCGTCTGTTTTTCCGCTCCAGCTCCAGCCAAACCTGGGCGTTGCGTAGGGCGAAGTTGTTTAAGGTGGATTCATCTGGCCGGGGTGGACGGGGCATTTCTCGGTCTCGGTGCATCGCGCGGCGCAGTTGGCGTAGGGCTGTTTGTTGAGCTCACTAGCGCCGAGCGTGCCTATCACGCCCTTGACCCTTGACGTCCTTGTCAACGGTGCCCTCGACTCCTGCCATAA